TTTGCAGAACGTAAGTCAGCCTATTGTGTGGTAGATGGTAGTCAGTTCTGTGCAGGAAGAAAGTGAGAGCCAGGTGAGGGGGATGAAGGGAATGGGCAAGGGGAGGGGAGGCTACACTTTTTAATAGTGTGGGCAGAGGGGCCTCGCTAAGAATTGATATGTGGGTTTATAGCTGAAGGAGGAGAGAGAGGAACCACATGTTCTGTGGGCTGGAGGTGCAGGCCAAGGAACAGCTGGTGCTAAGACCCTTGGTGGGAGCATGTCTGGGAGGGAGGCCAGGGCTCTGAGGTGGGGTGAGCAGCAGGGAGAGGCAGGAGCTCGCAGGGCCCTACATCCTGGCGGGTCTTGGAGGCCATTGGAGAACTTGGGCTTTGAACCTGAGGACATGAGGAGCCATAGGAGTGTTAGGCAGGGCTGGATGCAGCCCGATTTGGGTTCTAATGAGCTCCCTGTGACTGCTGTGCTGAGCCTAGACCAGTGATGGTGAACCTTTTGAGCTCGGCGTGTCAGCATTTTGAAAAACCCTAAGTTAACTCTGGTGCCCTGTCACAAATAGGAATTTTTTGGTATTTGCAACCATAGTAAAACAAAGACTTATATTTTTGATATTTATTTTATCTATTTAAATGCCATTTAACAAAGAAAAATCAACAAAAAAATGAGTTCGCGTGTCACCTCTGACACGCGTGTCATGGTTCGCCATCACTGGCCTAGACTGTAGAGCAAGGGTGGGTAGGGAGCCCAGCTAGGAAGCCATTGTAGCACTTCAGGTGGAAAATGGGGGTTGTGTGGCCCAGGAAGGGGAGGAGATGGGGAGAATGACCCAGAATGGATAGTTGCATTTGGCTTTCACAATAGATACCAACTCCTATACTCCTTGGGTTTCCACTTGTCCTGGAAACAGCTTGTCCCAGGGAGTGAGGGAACCAGTCAGGGAGACAGGTTGATTGCTTCTGGGTGCTCCTGAGAGTTCTGTTTCTCGTGGTGAATGAGCACTTTGGCTTCCTGGTTCCCTTCACTGGCCTCCTGCAAGCTCCTTTTGCATGAGTCAGCATCCCTGATGAGGTAGACTCCAGCCTGCCATCTGGGCCAGATCCAGGCATTAACCTCGTGAGAATCTTGGCTGCCATCCTGCCAGCGTGCTGCCATCCCCCAGTCCCAGCTCAGCAAGGCGGGGGCAGAGCCAGTGCCCGCTGTCCTGGTTGGGCCGGGAGCTGACAATGATGATGGTGATAAACCTTTAACAATGTCCTTGGGCCTGACTAGGTGCTTTAGAAATACTAAGTCACGGTGTCTTCATGCAGCCCCATGAGGTAGGGTCTGGAATTATCCAATCTCATAGGTGAGGAACCCGAGTCACAGAGAAGTAAAGTAGCCACAGGGTAGTGAGTTCTCTCTGCTGTCAGAGCACCTGTTTTGTTTTCATGTACTTGGCGCATGAGGGAATTTGCTTTCTGTGAAAATTTCAAAAGTGTATGCCTTTGACCCGGTGATTTCACCTCTGGGAGTTCATCCTGTGGCAGCAACAGGAGATTGGAACAACCCAGGAGACCATCCCCAGGGGATGTCTGTTCCCTGAGACGCAGGAGGCCCTTCGGGCGAGGGTCTGCTCTGCACTGAGGTGGAAGGGTCTCCAGGCCGTATCACCATGGGGGAGAGTTAGGATGCAGAACAGCTATAGATCCAGTTCTGTTTTTTGTACATAATCATTTGTATTTGCTTGGAGAAATATCAGAAGGTCACCCAAGAAATGAGTAAAGGTGGGACCCGCTGAGGGTAGTGGGAGTAGTGAGGTGACTGGGATAGGATGAGAGAGGAGCTGTGAGCAACACTCCCGCTGCCTTTGGGAACTTTGAGCTGCGGGAATGTGCTCCCATTCAGACGAGCACCTCCTTCCCTCTGCTCCCCACCCTTCCAGGTGACTTAAGGCCTGCTGTGAACGGCATTTCTAAGGCAGGTGCTCGGGAGACTTAGGCTTTGGGGCTGCTGAGCTGCTCCCTCCTTAAAGCAGGACTCGCCTTGTTGGGTGGAACTCGGAATGCTGCGGGCCATCTCACACATCTGCTCCACAGGAGGCTCCTGACCAGCACAGGGCGGTGTTCTATGGTGGTGGCCAGGCCTGCCTGAAGCTGGAGTACCATGCTGGGCAGGGGCAGGGGCAGGGATATGGGTCACCCGTGCATCTGAGCATGAAGGCACGGGCTGGCTCTCACAGAGGTCCGAGCTCAGAGCTGGGCTCAAGTCCGCACACATTCCTTGTCTCACTGCTACAGAACTTGACTTGGTTTCTTTGCCTGTAAAATGGGCGTGATAGACCTGCCCCTGGGGGTTTCTGGAGGGAATTAGATGAGAGAAGGCCTAGAAAGCATATACACTTTTTCCTCTTGTAATTGCTTTCTGGCAGGATCATTGTAGACCAAGCACGTCAGACTCCAAGGCTAACATGGGCCGAATAAACAAGGTTTAAGTTTACATGGGCTGCAAAGAAACAAAAGTTTCACTTTTCATAGAAACGTAGGTTTATTTTGATAGAGACATGCTGAATACAAAGGGCTGAAATAAGTGAGTCTGTTAGCATAAAATAATAGAACATTTTAATAAAAATTAATATTTTCTCTTGAACATAAACTTACCAGGCACTGAATAACTACACGAATTAATAAATGTAACGCAAATAAATCTATTTTTCTTGTTCTCCAAAAGCGAAATATTTCCTGTTGCGCACACCAAACAGGTCAGTCCAAGACTAATGATGTGGCCATCGGCTGCTAAAGTATTCGCTGCTGGTATTAGTGGAGAGAAATGGTGCGCCTGTGTGTAAGGCATGTAAGGAAAACGAATGCAACACGATTATACAATCAGTCATTAGTGAATGTTGTAGTTCATTATTAGTAATTATGTATAATAGGATACTGTAAAAATTAAGTTACGGACTTTTTATTAAAACGTTTCTTACATACCTTTATATTGCTTGGGCCATAAAAATAATCATTGTGGGCCACATGCATCCGTTTGACATGCTTGGTGTAAAGTATTGGAATAGTGCCTGGCACAGTCAGTGCTCAGAAAGCATCAGCTACTGTCGTTGACACTGTGTAGGTATTTTAGCGCCCTTTTTCTTTAGAAAGTGGATCAGGAAAGGAAATATATCTAGGATGGGGTATTACTTCTCAAAAGTAGTTAGTTGTCCACTGACTTACTCAAGAAAAAAAAAATTCACCAAACATGTTTGGCCAAAATGATTTTGCTGTTGAAGGCCCCTTAGAATGCAGAGGTGAAATATAAACCTGATTGTGGTTTCAGAGAGGTGGCGAGCTTTGTGGAGGGAGTGAAGGCATTTCGTGCTCTCCAGGCCGATCTATGTGCCGTAGGAGGTGAGAAATTGGCAGCAGCCCATTGTGACTCAATGACGACCCCAAGTAAACTGTGTGCAGGCCTGTTTCTGGCTCTGGGGCTGTCACAGGCAGCCACTCACTGCACCGGGTGAGGCTGCACAGAGCCCAGAGGCCACAGGCAGCCAGGCACTTCTGTCAGGAGGACTAAGGCGGGTGGCTCTGAGCGGTGGGGGTGCTTGCAGTCTTGCTTTCTGAACTGAAGTAAGGGTTTGGAGCCGAGCTCAAACCCTCATCCTGGCTGCACACCTGGGAGCCTCAGGCTGCACCCCGACCATTATCTCGGGTCCTCTGAGTGCACTCAGTGCTCTGATGCTCAGCCTTGGGTGAGAACCCCTGGTTCGGAGAGCAGAGGAAGGCTTGCTGCTGCTGCAGAGGTCGCCATACCCAGGCAAATTTGAAAGAAAGATGGTTCCCGCCTGCATCAGTGGCTCTCAGTGAGCATGTATAAAAATTCTCTAGCAAGGTTATCAAAATTCATACTCCTAGTCCTCACTTGCCAAAATACTCTTTTCCACATGCTCAGTGGGTGTCTGTAGGGTTGTGGTGTAAGTAATCCCTGCTGCAGAGGCTTCTCTCCCATCACCCAGCATTTTGTCCTTGCTTAATGATGTCATTTGATCTCATGTTGTTTGACCATAAATGGTCCTAAAAAATTTCCTGACTCTTTTTCTATGGATGGACAGGGATGTGGCTCTTTATTGCCCTGAATGATGACGTTATGGAGTGAAAAAGAAACATGTGAGCACAGGGAAATATTTTTGACATAAAAGGTGATTTGGGAGGGTTGGGAAATGAATAGAACTGTAAATTTTATCTCTTGAATATTGATAGCATTTTCTAAAAGCCAATGGAATAAGCAAAGCTTTTTGTGCTAGATTAGGGGTTGGCCTGTAGCCCAAGTGCCTTATTTACTTGTTTTGTAAATAAAGTTTTTTTAAAATATATTTTTATTGATTTTAGAGAGGAAGGAAGAGGGATAGAAAGATAGAAACATCAATGATGAGAATCATTGTTTGGCTTCCTCCTGCATGCCCCCGACTGGGGATTGAGCCCGCAACCCAGGCATGTGCCCTTGGCCGGAATTGAGCCTGGGACCCTTCAGTCCCCAGGCTGACTATCCACTGAGCCATACCAGCTAGGGCTGTAAATAAAGTTTATTGGAGCACAAGCACATCCATTTGTTTACATTCTGTCTGTGGCTGTTTTTGAGCTGCAATAGCAGAGTCAAGTATTTGTGACTGTGCGAGTCACCAGACTGGGTACTAGGAATATATTTGGGTGAAACAGACACAAACCTCTTCCCTTGGAGAACTTACAGTTGAATCTCAGATTCTGATTCTCTGGGCCCCAGGCAGGTAACATAAAGGATGCAGCAGCTGCGATGTGAGACGGAGCGGAGACAGCACACTCTGGGTAGTCTGCGTGCCATTGCAGGGCAGCTGCTCACCTGTCCTAGCGGACTTTTATCCTAAAGGGGTATGTTGTATGCAAAGAAGCAGGCAATCTGGGTTTTTGTGTGAATTCTCCTAATTATTACATGTTGGCAACTATTTCAAAAAATGTTAAAACACCTTGCAGGCCATCGTGTGATGGGCCGAGTAAAATGGGTCAGTGCTGGGTTCTGCCTACAGGCTGCCCATTGCAGCCTTTTGTCTAGAGTATGACAGGACCATCCTCTGGAGTGATTGGAGGTAACTGAGGCTGCTAGGACCCTATGTTCCAGTTAAGACTCGAAGAGGAGCGTGATCACTCATCCGCCTGTCACAGAAAGTAAAAGCCCTTCTTACATTAAAAACAAAAACAAAGAAATGTGGCTTAACGTTCTTCCCCTAGGTGGCAGCATATTATCACAAGTTCAAGTTTGTCTGCAGCCATCCCTGTCCCCATGAGCCAAGGCTGATTCGTGTTTACTCTGAAGAGTGTGACGATGTCTTTTCTCCCCAGGAAACCTCGTGTACGAGCGCATCTTCTCCATGTGCGTGGGTGACCGCAGCGTGCTTCCAGGTAACGTCGTAGCTGCTGCCTGGGTTCTGTTCTGCCCTGGAGTTAGGAGTAGGCGTATATGAGATCGGGACTTATTGAGACCTGACACAACGTGTTTTATTTTCGGTGTGTTAGAAGCACAAGACCATCTTTACAGGGTTCTCATCTGTCTTCTAATGACATCAGAAGGGTTCCAAACAGCCTGGCTGGGAATTTGGGCGAGTATTTGAATGTGCAAGAATGAAAAGGTGTTTGCATTTAGGTTATCTGAACTTTCACATCAACTTAAATTCCTCTGCTGCTTGACATTTTAATACTTTTTCTCCATATCTTCCCTAAGAAGCAAACTGCTTTAAAAACCCAACTTTGTATTAAAGAACAGTGTCAAGTAAATCAGTGGCAGATGCTTTGCCTCTACAGTCTTTGCCCAAGTGATAATGTGCCTTAACTGTATTGCTAATCAACTTCAGATTCTCAGGAGGTTGTAATGGGAGTAGATTATAAATGTCTTTTGTCATATAAGTGGTGACGATGAGCCCACACTAGCAACTCCTTGACCTCTTGTCCTTCTCTTCAGGTGTCTGGCACTGCTGTAAGTAACACTCTTGTCCACACGCGGCCAGGTGTGCTCTCCCCTCACTTTACCTCCTTCTGCTCCGACCAGATGATGGAATCAGCAACAGTGACCCATTATCTGACCTCTTCATTCATTTATTCTTTCTTTATTTTTCTCATTCATCTGTGTATCTACTTATATTTGAAAAACTATTTAGTATAGTTATGTTTCATAAAGAGACAGAACCCTACAGACCTTTAGGGCCAGAGGAGCTCTTAGGAATCCTTTGGTCTCATTTCAAATGGGCAGGCCCAGTGCGAAGTAGTCAGGGATTTGCCCACAGCCACTGCCAACTTGCTCAGGTGCTAGACCTGCACTGTCCGTTGTGGCCATTGCTGTCACGTGCGGTTCCTGACCACTTGAGATCTGGCCAGTCCAACTGAGCTGGGCTATGAATGTTAAAAATACGGTGAATTTCAGAAACTTCATATGGATAACAGACCAGAAGCTACCTCATTAATAATTATTTAAATATGGATTATATGTTGAAATGGTATTTGGATGAATTGGGTTAATCAAGTATAAATTTTGCCTTTTTGATTTACCTTTTTGCTTTATCCTTTGGCTCACATGGATTTCGATTGTACTTCATCGAACTGGACTGCTCTAGATCTTCCCAACTGTGTGATGTTTCTAACAGCCCCTCCATGTGCTAGTTTTCTCCAGATTGGGAGGCTGGGGGTCCCCAACTGGAGAGGCCTCTGCCAGCTTCAGGAGTGGGAAATGCAGGTGCTTTATTTATGCTGCCAGCTTGCCCACCGTGCGCTGTGCTAGCAGGCAGAAGTAACCCATCGGTGTTTCTTTGGCTGCAACAGTAGTAGTTTGTTTAATGTTCTTTGATACATGTTCTACTACTACCTAATGTTGTCTCCCTAGCTGCTTAAAAAAATATTATCTGCCTGGCCCCCAGGAGCATTCGAGTTTGCATGTACTGTAATAACTTTTTTCTTCTAATTTTTATTAACTGTACAAACAACATTTTAGAGCCAAGTAAGAAAAAATTACTAGTAACTCCCTACGTAAACTATAAAAATTCAAAATAAAAGGGGATTTTCATATTCACTTCCAGTCCTTGTCTAAAGTTATTAATTAGCACTTTTATCACTAAAATTCTTCCTGCCCCAAAATACCTTTTGTTATTTTTTTACTCTGAGAGGTGCATTTCAGGCTTTTGTTTTCTTGAAAATCGTTTCTTCTTTTTTTCCCCCTCTCTTAGTTAAAATCTTCATCTACATGTGTTCTCTGGTTCCAAGAATTTGAAAGGGAACTCTGGGATATGATTCTTTACAATAATTATGAAGGAAACTTTTGAAACCCACTGTGCAGAATTCTGCCTGAAGAAAGGAAGTGTAGAGAGAAGGCTGGTGGCACGTGTGCTCATTTTCCCGTTTGAATCAAGTTCTGTCTGGTGGGTTTTGTTTCTGAGCCTTTACCTTCAAGAGCTCTTTTGAATTTAGAAAGACAGCGTCGTTTGGGCCATGGAAAGGATAGCTACTATACTAGATGTAAAGGCATTCATTTTTTCCTCACTGTTTCTAATCCAGCATATATGTGAAGAGGCCATCTGCTCTGATAAAATGTTATTTTCATCTTGGGAGAAATAATTGGGTTTATTGTGGTTCTTGTCATCAGTCATGAGCATTCATTCCCATCTTCAGTTTTCCCCATGGTTGACGTGGGCCACAGTTGGATAAGCAGGGCCTTGAACTCACCTGGCCTGCCCGGTGCCTGCTGAGATGACGTTGCATAGAGACTTCACTGCTACTGCAGAGACTTGGCAAGTGACAGACTCGTTGGTTTCCTCCCTCCTCCTAGAGTAGCCAAAAAAGTCAGGTTAGAAAAAGCAGCACTGTGAGAAAAACAAGTGGGAACTCAAAGGAAAAACCTCTGCTGTTTGTCACATCGAAGTCTATTCTGAATGAAATGCCAAAATCTGAATTCATTTTCCATGTGGCAGCCAAGTGCTAAAGTCATGTCATCCCTCCACTTAGAACTCTTCTGGGAGCTTTCGTAGCACTTAGAGAAACGTTCAAACTCCTGTCCGAGGTCGCCACCTGTGTAGCCTGGCTTGTGGTGCCTGCCTCTCTCCTTGCCATGTTGGCTGACTTCCTGTTCTTTGACCATGTCAGAGGTCATTGCTACTTCAGGGCCTGTGTACTTGCTGTTTCTTCTTCCTGCAAATGCATTTTCTCCATATCTAGGCATGCTGGCTCCTTATCATCAGGGGTCAGCTCAGATGGCCCCTCTGCAGGAGCCTTCTCTGGCCCCCATCTAATACCCCCTCCCCCCAAGTTACTCTGGTCCAGGATCTAGTTTCCTCCCATTCATAGTGTTGACTGCTAGGGATGTTACTTGTTTGCTCGGTTATTCTATTCCCTGTTTGTTATGTGTCCTCCGTCCGTGGGAGGTAAGTTTCATGAGGACAGGGCCTGTCTCATGTACTCTGTCTTGGCCACAGAGCTGAGAGCCCTACCTTCAGTTGGTTCTTAAAACATTTGCCTTAAATAGAGAAGAACGAAGATGGCGGCATAGGTAAACACGGGAGTTTGCTGCCTCGAACAACCACTTCAAAAATATAACTAAAAGACGGAAGGGACATCACCCAGAACCACAGGAAAGCTGGCTGAGGGAAAATTCTTCAACTAGAAGGAAAGAGAACAGCATACGAGACTCAGAGGAGGCGCAGTGCGGAAAATACAAAGGTGCAGAGGTACGCGCGGAGCGGGCTGGCGGCTGAGGGTGCGGTTGTCTGTTTCAATCGGGAGGGAGGCTCAGGCTCTGAGCTCCAGTTTTGGGTGAGTCTCTAGGGACCCAGACTCAAAGGGGAGAAGTGGGACTGTCTGGCATCGGTTGGAACACGAGGGCAGCTTTCTCTCCGAGGTTTGCAGCAGTTGCTGGGACTCTGAGAGGCAGAGCCTCTGGGGACAGGACTGAGAGCAGCCATAACTGCTTCCTCCGCCCGCCCTGTTTGATCCCGTGCGACCCGCCCAGCCCAAGCCCTGCACAGAGCCATTTGCCGGATACCCTCAGGCAAAGGCTAGATTAGCACCTCCCCAGAGGACAGAAGTTTTCCCACTTGCAGACACAGCTGATTCTCACAGCCAGTTGGCCTGAAGGTCAAATCCCCCCAGTATTAACTACAACAATCAAGGCTTAACTACAACAAGACTGTGCACAAAGACCACTAGGGGGTGCACCAAGAAAGCATAAAAAATGCGGAGACGAAGAAACAGGACAAAATTGTCCATGGAGGATATAGAGCTCAGAACCACACTTTTAAGGGCTCTTAAGAACTGTCTAGAAGCCGCCGATAAACTTAATGAGATCTACAAGAAATCTAATGAGACCCTTGTTGCTATGATAAAGAACCAACTAGAAACTAAGCATACACCAACTGAAATAAAGAATATTATACAGACACCCAACAGCAGACCAGAGGAGCACAAGAATCAAGTCAAAGATTTGAAATGCGAAGAAGCAAAAAACACCCAACCGGAAAAGCAAAATGAAAAAAGAATCCAAAAATACGAAGATAGTGTAAGGAGCCTCTGGGACAACTTCCAGCGTACCAACATCAGAATTATAGGGGTGCCAGAATTTAAGAGAGAGCAAGATATTGAAAACCTATTTGAAGAAATACTGACAGAAAACTTCCCCTACCTGGTGAAAGAAATAGACTTACAGATCCAGGAAGTGCAGAGAACCCCAAACAAAAGGAATTCAAAGAGGACCACAACAAGACACATCATAATTAAAATGCCAAGAGCAAAAGACAAAGAGAGAATCTTAAAAGCAGCAAGAAAAAGAAACTCAGTTACATATAAGGGAATACCCATACGACTGTCAGCGGATTTCTCAATAGAAACTTTGCATGCCAGAAGGGAGTGGCAAGAAATATTCAAAGTGATGAATGCCAAGAACCTACAACCAAGATTACTTTATCCAGCAAAGCTATCATTCACAATTGAAGGTCAGATAAAGAGCTTCACAGATAAGGAAAAGCTAAAGGAGTTCACCACCACCAAACCAGTATTATATGAAATACTGAAAGGTATCCTTTAAGAAGAGGAAGAAGAAGAAAAAGGCAAAGATACAAATTATGAACAACAAATATGCATCTATCAACAAGTGAATCTAAGAATCAAGTGAATGAATAATCTGATGAACAGAATGAACTGTTGATTATAATAGAATCAGGGACATAGAAAGGGAATGGTCTGACTATTCTTGGGGGGGAAAGGGGTGTGGGAAGAGTCTGGACAAAAATTGTGCACCTATAGATGAGGACAGTGGGTGGGGAGTGAGGGCGGAGGGTGGGGTGGGAACTGGGAGGAGGGGAGTTATGGGGGGAAAAAAGAGGAACAAATGTAATAATCTGAACAGTAAAGATTTAATTATAAAACAAACAAAAAACAAACAAACAAAAAAAAACATTTGCCTTAAATAAAGTAAAGCAATAAAGTAAAGGGACATAACATTTTATTTGCTGTAATGTTATGAAGTCTTACATAACATAAGACTTCTAAATCTTTTCTTGAGCTGGAAAGCAGATTATTATAGAGCTGCAGTCAATATGTGGACCCGGGGCTGAAACCTCAGTTCCCACCACCGGGACATGCGGGCTTATATTACAAGGCCTCAGAGACTGACTTTTGCTTTGGCGTTTCAAGTCACATTGTTCAGCCGTATGAAGGAAAAGAACCCCTCTCCATTTCCACAAGGCAGCATTGACAAAGGAATTTCAGAATGATTCTTAAGTTTTCTTGTCTGGATCTCTTGGAACTTGAAAAAATTGTTAAGTGCACAGATTCAAGCCAGGTAAGGGAAAATGGTAACTTCCCTTCCCATTGGAAATGGAACAACAACTCAGGAATGAATGAAGCATGTGAGGGTATCCTAAATAGGTTAACACTTGAGATTGCAGTTCCGAAATATCGGCAGTTGTGTGGTGACTAATGTGCCCAGAGGTTGATCTTCTTGCTGATGCCACAGGAATTTGATTCCCTGAATTGCAACAGAAAGCAGAACCAGGGGCAAAATTGACTCATGGACAAGATGAGAGCCAGACAGCCAATGTTCCTTTGCTATATTCTGAAGTAATTAACTTCTCCCTTTTTGCTAGAATCCTGAACATATAACACATCCAGGGGTGTGGCCAGGCTCCCACCTGTACAGAAACTACTTAGGAGAAGTCATTGCATGCAGAGGCAGTGGGTGGCATTGGCGTTCCTGAGGTGTTCTGTTGTCTGTCTATTTATTTTTCATATTTCTGTACTTCCGTTCTTTATTAAGATGTATGCCAGCATTAGTCTTGGGTGTCATTATGCAGGGAAGCTCAAAATAACATTAAGAAGGCCAGGGCTAGGGGGCAGCTAGACCTGGGGCCAGGGATCCTGACTTCTCTCTGGTTGCACTCATGGTTATGGAGGTTCCAGCCATTGCACCTGCATTCCAGCCAGCAGGAGAGATGAAGGAGTGAAGAAGGTCAGGGCCCTTTTTATACAGCTGTTTCCTAGAGGTTGTACTTCTTTTGACGCCCTGGGACAAGAACTTGGGCACATGACCACACCTAGCTGTAAGGATGGCTATTTGCCCAGCAGAAAGGGGAGAGTTCTATCACTAAGGAGGAAGAGAAGAGATAACAGGAGAAACTGGCAGTTTTGCCACAGTGACTCAAGTCTGAGGGCAGTGCTGAGCTGGAGCGTAAGTGGCTGCTTTCTCGCCTGATTAAGGTGCTCAGAAGATCCACCCTCAGGTCTGGCCTATGTGCTGTTTGGAGCACGGGCTTCAGTCACATTTCATGTTACAGTTGCAGGTTCCTAAAGCTTCTGGAATTCTTACAATATTGTCATGTTACTGGTGGGTATACCAAGAATACTATTAGAGCACGTTGGCTGTGGAGCCGACTGCCCGAGTTGAATTCAAGCACTTACCTCTGCTTGCTCTGTGCCTTGGACGGGTTTCTGGATTCCTCTGCACCCCGGAAGGCTGATGGTAAAGGCCCATCCTTCGGAGGCTGCTGGGGGATTAGTGAGCTGAGCGCTCAAAGTAGCACCTGGCCCTTAGGACAGCTCCCATTGTCACTGGTTGTTTTCCTAATACATACTATGTGGATGGAAAGGCTAGAAGAACTAGGCAGCCACCCCTTTCTGCTCCACTGAAGTGTTTTCCCATCCCAGAACTCCCAGCAGGGGTCATAGATCATAAGGTTAGGAAGGCTAACGGGTATTACTTTTGTATTACAGATAAATTCTCTCCAGAGAATGTAAACGACACGGCCAGAGAAACATGCTTAAACTGGTTTTTCAAGATCGCTTCCATCAGGGAGCTCATTCCAAGATTGTATCCTTCTTTGATGATTTTAAAGAGGTGGAAAGTGTTGCACCATGAATAGAGGCCCTGACATCGTGGTGAGAAGTTGGCCCCGTGTGGTGGCCGCCTGAGCGCAGGCCAGCCACACATTCTAGAGAAGCCTTGGGACCCTGGCTTTCCTCTAGCAATTTTCTGGTTTTTCCTTTGAATATGATGCAGTGTACCGGGCTTTTTTTCCTAAGAGGGACACCATCACATCAATTCTTTCAATTTAAATGGTTTGTTTTCAAGTGTTTTCTCTGGTTCCAAGAAATTGAAAGGGTCAAGCATCTCCACACAAATGCCAGTGTTGAGAACAGAGAATTGGGCTGATACACATACTGAATCTTAGTTATCTGACATTCAGGTTTTCTCTGTAAATCTTGATTGGAAATGCTCAAAAACCTGTTTGAATTTCAGCATGCAACCATGAATAAGCATGTAACATTTTCCAAATTTTGTTTTAAATAGGTATGAAACCTTGAAAACCCAATACAGAAGCCACAAGCCACTAGCTCACTTAATTCTCTGATTGTTGATAGCCACTGTGGCTCCCTCTACTGAAGACACATCTAGTTCTGCTTATAAATAGTTATTTCTCCCCGCGGGGAGCATGCCGTCTGTAAATGTCTTTCTTAACCAAATGCTTTTTTAGTTATGTGGAAGCATCCATCCTGAAGTGTAACAAGTTCCTCTCCAAAATGTAAGGCTCTTCCTAAATGTCCAGAACCATAACATTTCCAAAGAATCACCTCCCCCCTCCCCATGGCAATGTAATAGTCGCTGTTCTTATTTGGTTACTTAGTGGCAAATCTTCCTTGCATTTTCTTATTTTATCCAAATGAAAACTGAATGAAATAGAGATACCATTTAATCCTCGTTTTACTGATAAATGAGCTCTAGCTAGGAGAGGTGGTTGAGTAGCTTACTTGCCCTCAGCTCAGCTGGAGATGAGTCCTGGTTGGCCATTGCATTCCATGTGGCTCTGAGCACATTGTGTGGCGTCTACCCTCAGCTCCCTCTGTGAGCAGGGTCTGGGCAGCGGTACAAGCTGCGTGCACCACAGAGCAGCATGGCAGGTGGTGCCTCCACGCCCTGCTATCTAGGCGGGACCACGTCAGAAGCCAGAGCCTTTGCCCTTGAGCTCCAGGGCAGTCACAGAGCCACTGGGAAACCTGGAGTCCTGTTGGGTAGCATCTAAGTAGTAAATTTCCCGATGCCATGGCCGACTTGGGGCTCCACAGAGGTGGGCTTAGAATCTAGTGTACCAGCCGTGCTTGACGGGATATAGGGTTGCCTGGGGACAACGCTGGTGTGGAAGGAGCAGTCATTTTGCTTCACCAGTTGGTGCAAGGTAGTGTCCCAGGCAGAGGGAGTCAGTCCCCTGTTGCAGGAGAAGTAAATACTGCACAATTCCCATGCTGGGGGCTGCTGATGCCAGCTGGGGCACGGGGGTCAGGTGCTGGGAGGGAGCAGGGTCCCAGACAGACAGTCAGTGCCAGAGGAATATACAGGAGTGGATGAAAGGAGGGTTATAGTTGTGAGTATGCAAAATGAGATTATTCTTTTATTATTACTTCTTCATTATTGTATTATTTATTTGTATTACAATTGTAAACCTCATTTTGCCTACCCCTGTAGATAATGGTGAGAATATGGAGATCAGGGGGTACCCATCCACAGAAAATAATTGGAGGACAAAAGCTGGTAAAATAGTAAAATAAATGTGACCTCAGCAGGACAAAAGTGAAGGTTAGACTCCTGAACTTGGAGATGGTAAAGATGAAGGAAACCATTCAATGAATGAATGAATCATGAGTGAGAGGAAGACTGTTGGTGCAGAGCCTTAGAAAACTCTGACAACTTGACCTTGGTTTGTTTCTAAAACCTGACTTCCTCTCCCTGAATTTGGGGAGTTTAGCTTTGTCTGTCCGTTAAAAGTGAAAGCCCAGGGAGTTCTCCTTTGGGGTGTAATGCTGCCTTCTTTTGCTCTGACAGGGGTATCTCAGAATGTCTGCCCCGCCTGACCTGCATGATTCGAGGGATCGGAGATCCGCTGGTGTCGGTGTACGCCAGGGCCTATCTGTGCCGGGTAGGCCCTCATGGCTGCGCTCCCAAAGTGGCAGCCTCCCGTCTCCTTCATTGTTGGCATGGGCTTCTATTTTCTTTTTTTTCCAGTCATCATTTATCCCCCCTCTACCCTCTTCCACCTCCACCCACCCCCTTACCACTACAGTCACTACAATTGACTTGTTCCTGTCCATGAGTTCCTTCACTGTTTTTCTTTTTTTTTTTTGCTCAGTCCCTCCCCACACCCTCCACCAATACCCCTCCCCGCTCCCCACCAGGGCTGTCTGCCTGCTCTATCCTCTATGAGCCTGTCTCTATTTTGCTTGTTAGTTCAGTTTGTTCATTAGATTCCACATATGAGTGAGGTCATGTGGTACTTGTCTTTCTCTGTCACTTATTTCACTTAGCATATTGCTCTCCAGGTGCATCCATGCTATTGCAAAGGGTAAGATTTCCTTCTTTTATACAGCCGAGGAGTATTCCATGATGTAAATGTCTCACAGCTTTTTTTATCCTCTCCTTGATCGACACTTGGGCTGTGTCTGAATCTTGGCTGCTGTCTGCTGTAAATTATGCTGCAGTGACCACAGGGTGCATACTAGTATTCTTTTGAACTAGTGTTTTGGGTTCTTCAGATGAATTCCCAGAAATGGAATTGCTGGGTCATAAGGCAGTTCCATTTTAAATGTTTTGAGGAAACTCCATACTGCTCTCCACAGTGGCTGCACCAGTCTGCATTCCCACCACAGTGCACGAGGGCTCCCTTTTCTCCACGCCCTGGCCAACACTTGTTTGTTGCTTTGTTGATGGAAGCCATTCTGACAGATGTGAGGTGATGTCTCATTGTGGTTTTAATTTGCATCTCTCTGAAGATAGTGACATGGAACATCTTTTCATATATCCATTGGCCATCTGTATGTCCTCTTTGGAGAAGTGTCTATTCATGTCCTTGACCCATTTTTTAATTGGATTGTTTTTTCTTTTTGCTGTTGGGTTTTATAATTTCTTTATAAATTTTGGATACTTTTTTTTTCTTTTAATTTGGAGATATTGGGGTGCCAGGCGGGTAAGTCCAACTCAAGGGGAAGGACTTCCACTGGTGCTCAGGCCTCACCAAGCTTTTATTGATCTGGGATACACCCATAGCATAGTCCTTAGGCAGGCAATTTCCAGTAACACACAGACTAGCCCATCAGCAGGCAATTTCCAGTAATAGGCAGATTATCTTATCAATAAGGTTTGTAGGATAATGAGGTGCCCTGGTACTGGGAAGGCTCAGGCTTAGTGTTTTTCTTCATAAATAATGGACCATTGGGGTTGGAGAAAGACTGTAACCATAGATGACAGTTAAGGCCAGTTTTTTTTTTTCTTTCTAAAGCAAAAGTAACGTAAATGGAAGGCAGTCAAGTTTTATCGGCCTCTATTAAGTATAACAAGCAATTTCAGAGGAAAGGAGAGGGAAACAGTGCAACATGAATGATGATCTAGAATGCTGGGTCAGCTGTCTCCTGCATGCCCCTCCCTGAGGATGGAGACCGAAACCCTGGCATGTGCACCAACCTGGAATGGAACCCTGACCTCCCAGTTCCTAGGACTATGCTCAATAACTGAGCCACACTGGCCCAGCACAATAGATTAGTTTTAATTTATAAGTTATTATGCTTTGCGTTTTGTTTTATTATATGTTAGAGGCCCGGTGCACAAAAATTTGTGCACTCGGGGGCGAGGGGGGTCCCTCAGACCGGCCTGTGCCCTCTTGAGTCTGGGACCCCTCGGGAGATACGACCTGCTGGCTTAGGCCTGCTCCCGGGTGGCAGAGGGCAGGCCCAATCCCTAGGTGCAGCCCCTGGTCGGGCTCAGAGCAGGGGCGATTGGGAGGTTGGGGCTCCGTACCCTGTCACACACAGAGCAGGGCCAATCAGGGGGTTGGGGAGCTCTCACCTGTCATGCACC